TATATTATGTGACTTTCCAAAATAAGAATCGCAATCGGAGCCACGCGGTCGTTAAATTTCTATATTTTCCACGAGAGAGGTTAACAGGCGATAATTCTCACGACGCATACAGCCGGCTCAACCGTAATTTCTTTGTTCATATTTTTACCTTAACACGGTCACGTAACCGGAGAACGCAACGTCGCCTCGCACTCTTGGCGTTGCTAATAAAGGTTAATGAAAACACTAATAAGGATACTGACATTATTTTTCATTAGCGCGACGTTTCATTGTCGCCGCCTCTGCCCTCTCTCACACCTGTTTTCTCGCGAGTTTCTTATCAACTGCGACACAGCGTATTTCCTGTCGTTTTCTCGGATGAAAATTTTCAACGATCAAGCTGGCGGAAATGTTAATAAAGGGCATGAGACATAGAGAGAGAGAGAGAGAGAGAGAGAGCTTATATCCAGGTTCGCGCGGCGCGAGCTACGAGAAAGAGAGTCTCGGCGATATTAACGCGATTGTTTCGTTTGAACGAGGCTGACAACACCGAGCTACGACGAGCGAGCTTTCGCGAAAACAAATGCACAGCCGTTAATTGAAATGTAAATTCTCTCTCGGAATAATTGCATCGACGGTGAAACGGCGCGAAGGAACACGCACTCTTTGTCAAACGACACCCCCAGCCGTCGTATAACAAAGTAAATTCCGTTTGATCACGCGTTTCGCAGAAGGTGTCGTTGTTATAATTGTTTTTAATTATTCGATTCGAGGACTTGTTATTGTTACGTTACTCTGCACACTCAGGGGAATAGATTCGTACAGAAATAACGTGTTGATAATCGATAGAGTGACATTCATCTCGCGGATGAAAAACTTGAAGATTTGAAGGAGTTGCAGATTTTTACGTAAGACGATTTTCTCGTTTTTCGAATCACATTTTCAAAAATATAAATTCACACGAACAGACCGCGATGTAATAGTTTGCAGATCATTTGTATTTCAAATGCAATTTGCAATATATATTTATAATTTTGCTCAAGTAAAACGAATTTAATATTTTTCATTGAAATTTTGAAAGACGAGAGAAATTCCCTGTTTGTGAAACGCAAGTCCGCAACAACGTTAGTATAATTCCCTAACAGATAACGTAATCCACTGTACTTTTGCGCAGGACGTAAGTTGTTTCTTAAGTAGAAGCTGGAAGTTTTTGACACAGTATTACGTTCCTTGCTGCACGCAATACTTAAAGAGGTAATACTTAAAGACTCCGAGACAAAGAGCGTTCTACGTGTGAATGGCTAAACAACGTCGCCATTCTTTTCCGTTTTTCTTTTTTCACTTGGTACTGCCGGTCATACAAATGCCGACTAAACGGAGCAGAGATTGAGAAAACTGTTTTGTTTCGAAATAAGAGCAATTGCGGTCTCTTTGTGTTCAATGTGTTATTGTTCGTTTTAGTTCGATAGTTCGTCGAAAATTATTAAATTATCGAAAATTAAATATAAAATATAATATAAAATATAAAATATAATATAATATAATATATAAAATAAAATATAATATAAATATAAAATATAATATAAATATAAAATATAATATAAATATAAAATATAAAAATAAATAAATTATCGAAAATTATTGCGCGAAAAAGAATCCACGTTCTATCGCGATTATCATAAAGAAATACGGGAAAAAATTCATATTCTTCAAGGTTTTTAAGTTCACAACATCACCGTAACTCTGATTTTATTCGCCTTGCCATTTCTTTCATTTTATTGCCGATTTATTCATATTTCGATTGCACGGTTTTTTAACAAAGCTACGAAATCAGTGTTAAGATATAAAATGACGAAACGATTTTACTAGAAAAATATAGAAGCAAAGAATATAGCTTTGCTAGTTAATTAATTAAAACCGATAGGAAATCACGGTTCGTCTCGCGCGTTACAAACTCTCGCTCGAACAAATAGGAAGGAATGTTCATTACCGGAAGAACAGCGACTCCGCCTCTATTTATCACCGCTAACGAAACTTTCGAAGGCTTGCTTTTATCGCCGGATTTACTCTCTATATGTTGCTACACAGGCAATTTATCGACTGTCGTTAGTAATTACGATAGAGAGGAGAGTATTAACCCGACGACTGTGTCATGAGAATGTGTCCCGATACACCGTAAATATTATTTTAAATAAAAAGTCTTTCTAATTTTTCTAACTTTGTCTCAATTAAAATTCATCACCTGCCATGGCACTGCTAAATCACGAATGATCGTCTGATTATTTCACCGTTAAATTCCATCATTATTGTTATTTTATTTTCTATTTTGTTTTATTCTTTTTATCATTATTTTATTATTATTAGAGAAAGTAGAAAGCAATACAATGTTTCTATGCATCAGTAAAAAATATAAAAATATCTATGTCCGAAGCAAATTTCACGTAATAATGTAAATTTAAATTACTTCAACTTTCACAACGCTAAACACTATAAAAATAATGGAACACGTTGTAGAAAGAAAATAGTGCATCATACTCCAATCTCGATTAAATAACCACGCGT